GGTGGAAGAGCTGGCAAAAGGGAGACATATGAGGAATCGTATTATAATTTGAAGCTGCTATATTTGCAGGAAACTGCTCTTGAATTGTTTCAGAAGGATCATAGTCGTCCGAGTCTGAGCCAGCTGCGGCATCAGCATCTGTATTCAAATTTTGTGACTGCAAGTATCCTTGTTCAGCTCCCTCCTCCGCCATGTTTGCTCTCTATTAGATGGCAGACGGGTATTCGAGTGTCCTTCTTCTTCTTCTTTTTTGCTTCCTGTGCTCTGTCTGGAGGAGTAAGAAATGGTTTAATTAGCTCGAGTCGAAAAGTGATATTAAATCGCAAGCGCTCGTTACCGACCTTTAGGGAAAAAGAAGAAGTCTTCCCCTTCCAGCTAACGGCGCAAATGGACGAAAACCAAAGCGGAAGAGGAAGGGCTACCTGCTGTCTGTAAGAGGCTGGTGTGGTTGTTCGGTGAAAACTTCGAGCAAGCTTGCAACTAGGTGTTGTCAGGAAAAAAGCTCAAGAGGTTGTTTGGCCGCGTCACGTGGCGGATAGGACAAACCAAGGCGTGGAGAAGTATAAATGACAACTGAGACAAAGGGCAGTGAGCGCGAAACGAAGACGCAAAGGAATTAATCCTTTCAATTCAGATCTCCTGCCCGGATTCTCCTATAGCTTTCATAAAGAAAACAGCATAAACTGCTGCAACCGCTGCATCACCTTTCGCTTGCTTCAATGCGCCACTCAACTTAACTTTATCACGTGATAACAATCTTATATAATCGTTATATAATTTATCTTACTAAGCAAGACGCGACTTTTAGTTTTGTTAAATTGGTTTTCCGCGTCGCATCGAGAAAGACGAAAGAAAAGAAAACCCGCTTTCCTCACGCATAACGAACGATTTCCCCCGCCACAGCGCAGCGCGACGAGATAATTTGCCCCGGGGAGACCGCAGCCAGCTTCTCTTGTCGAGCCAGCGTGAAAGAACGGTTTGACTCTTTTGACTTGACTTGAGATTGCAAATATTTCAGAGATGTCGGTGGTTTCGCTGCTTGGTGTACGGGTGGTTAACAACCCGGCCCCCTTTACTGCCCCTTACGAGTTCGAGATCACATTCGAGTGTCTGGAACAACTACAAAAAGGTGCGATAGTTAAAGCCTCGGGAGAAAAATACTTCGATTTGTTTGAATTTTGTTCTAATCGGTTCATTGCTAGATCTGGAGTGGAAACTGACTTATGTCGGTTCTGCGACTTCGTAAGTCTGACATTGAAAACGGCGATCGTGGGAGAGCACGCATGTCTGACTGATTAGGTCTGAGTATGACCAAGAACTTGATTCGCTATTAGTCGGCCCAATCCCAGTTGGTGTCAACAAGTTTATATTTGAGGCCGACCCTCCAGATTTAAAGAGAATACCTACATCAGAGATTCTGGGAGTCACGGTCATCCTTCTTACATGCAGCTACGATGGTAGAGAGTTCGTTCGGGTTGGATACTACGTCAACAATGAATACGACTCGGAAGAATTAAATGCAGAGCCGCCGACCAAACCGATTATCGAGAGAGTTGTACGCAATGTACTAGCGAAGAAGCCTCGAGTCACACGGTTTGCAATCAAATGGTAAGCTTGTGCTGAACTTTTGTCCGTTTTCGTATGTTTTAATGGTTAGATACTGATGTGCGCCGTTTGAATCTAGGGATTCCGAGGATTCTGCGCCTGCAGAGTATCCCCCAGACCAGCCAGATGTAGATGCACTTGATGATGACGGCACAGCTTATGGCGCTGAGGAGGTTGAACTTCAGGCCGCACTTGAGAAGGAGCTGGAAGAGTTGGATAGAGAAGAAGCGAACAATGATGGTATGGAAATTGAGGGTCCCGCTGCCGACGAGGGCAATGCAGATGAAGACGATGATGATGCCGGAAGTGAAGATTTGGAAGAAGAGAGTAGCGAGAGTGAGGATGAGGGCGACGGTGACGAAGACGTCGAAATGGGCGATGGAGACCCAGCTGACAACAATCAGTCTGACCCCAAGACCGCTGAAGCGCAGCAACAGTCCGAAGTCATGGTCCACTAACCGAACATAGATTTGTCTATGTTGGCTCCGACGACAATACAAAATATGACACGCGAACCATCCTGTTGGTTACGAATGCATGCATCTTTAATGATTTGACAGGCGTCTTTTGCAATATATAGTTATCTACTATATATGGACCTTATATCAGGCCACCATAAATCTCTCCGGATCATTTCCTTAGATCTCAAAGTGGATATTCCTACGGCGTTAGTTAGCAATGAATGAAACAAACACCAATCCAGCGGTCGCCTCTATTATTGTAACACACGCTGTAGTTCGATAATTACCTTCTGTTGTGCCAGGGGTTGAAGGCTAGTGATTCGAGCCGAGGCACGAAGGAGGGGCCGCCACTTGAAAGAGAAGTACATCCCTGCCAACAACTTATTTTAATCGTATTTACAGCAGTTGGCCTGCATATTTTTTACGGCCAGGAACAATACAACAACTAACTGGAGCCGCGGGGATACTTTTATTTGACGATATCTGTCCTATATTTACCCTGGAGAACTTTCATAGAACATGGCCGACACAAACTCGCCTGCGCCTGCTGAGAAAGAAGCCAAACCAGTCGCTGAAGCCCAGCCATCAAAACCCGAGGAAGTGAAGAACGAGCTGCCTACACAAGCGGAGGAAGAGGAATCAGACTGGGAGGAGCTTGATGGTAAAAATGCCAATCCATGCGTTGAGTTAGCTTTGTGTATAAATGTATACTAGAATCTTTGGGAATGCTGACTACTTAGTAGATGTTTTGGATGACTTCTCTGCGACAAAGACGACCTCGCAAGCTGCGCAAGACAAGATAATACCAGAGTCTCAGGAAAATCAAGAGAAATCGAATACGGACCTATCAGCTGCCGACCAGGATGCCCTATTAAAACAACTAGAGGCTGGGATGGCTGAATTGATGGGCGCTCTCCCCGCAGATGCGAGCGGGCAGCAGACAAAAGAGGGAGACTCCTCGAAGGAGAGAACGAACGACATACCGGGCATGCCGCAATTTTCCGGAAACGAAGACTGGAATGCGCTGACAGAAGAACTAGAGAAGAAAGGATTTACGGTGGCAGATGTGATGAAACTTATGATGGGCGAGGAGTTAATGACAGGCGGAGAAGGCGTCCCTGGAATGGACGGGTCAACGACTACAGATAAAGCATCAGGCACAGCGAAGCAGCCATCGCCCTCGACAAAAAAAGGGGAAGATAACTTCCAGGAAACGATTCAGAAGACGATGGAACGAATGCAAGAGTCAGGTGACAAAGCCACCGCAGAAGTCAATGAAAGCGGGAATGAAGACGTATTGATGCAAATTCTCAAGGCAATGGAGAGCAGCGGCCTTGCTGGTACTGGCGAAGGAGAAGATGGGAATCTCGATAAGCTTTTCATGGGGATTATGGAGCAATTGTCGAATAAGGAGATGTTATATGAACCTTTGAAGGAACTTGATGACAAGTTCGGTCCTTGGTTGAGAGAGAACAAGGAAAAGATAGGAAAGGAAGATCGAGAGAGATACGAATTGCAGGCCTCCTTGGTATCTGATATTGTTCGAAAGTTCGAAGAGAAGAACTTTTCAGATGATAAACCCGAGGACAGAGCTTACATTTGGGAGAAGATGCAAAAGGTACGTAAGAGTCTTTCTGCTGTGACTGTATTTCGCTCTAACTCATTCATTAGATGCAAGCCGCTGGAAGTCCTCCAGATGATCTCATATCTGCCCCATTTATGGATGAATCCAAACTCCAGGCACTTGGTCAAGAAGGGTGCGCGCAACAATAATATTAATAAACCAATACTGCCCATTTCCCTTCATATATCCAAAAACGTCAGTGTATTGTACATAAAGTTAAACCCTCTCACTAGCCACCTTCGCGGTTTATTTCCAACAGGGCAGGAGAGGGAATGAGATGTTAGCTGTCTGTGTAGACACGCGTTTTCAGGTAGTAGCTTTGATACATGTGAATGTTGCAAAGCTAAATCTTGATATGTCGCCTTCGCCAAAAGAAGGAACCTTCTTGCATCTTGAACGTGGAAGGTTCATATACAAATATAACCACGGTTATGGCCACATCCGACATATCTTGACAACAGGAAGCTTCCCGTCGGTAACTTGAGTTGATCAATAATAACCCACCACCATTACGCAACGCTGCAAATCCAAACCGAACAAAGGAAAATTTCTGGGATATCAAAAATTGCTTCAAGTACCTGACAAATCCATCTGTTGGTGAGACTGAGACTCGATTTGATCAATGAGATCAACTAAAAGTCCGTCTTCTTCCATGTCACCGTAGAGTATGTCGCTATTAAGCGGCTCTTCAGCAGCACGGCTGTCCGGCATATCTTCAACTAATGTCATGTATTCATTCTCCTCCTGAGCAATAAAATCTTCTAGAAGAGATTCGTCGACATCTATACATAGAAATTAACCTTGTGTCGGATGAGAGTCATAAAAAATTAACACCATCCTCTCACCTTTATCTTCCTCTTGTGGGTAAAGGTCTACATAGTCATCACCTTCGTCCTCTTCTATATTATCGAGTTGAGGTCCTGACCTCGCCATCTCCTCTTCAAACCGCTTCCTCTGCTCCAAGAAATCACTTCTCTGAATCTGGTCACTCCGAACCTCGAACTGATCCGACTGACGACTGCGTTTAACTTTGTTCAGGAAGCTATCCCGTCGGGATTCTCTAGATTGCCGCTCTGCTACGCGTGCAGCAGGCCGGGCTATAGATGACGCATATCGTTGTGCAAAACGCGAACTGGATATTGGCCGCGTGGAGCCCGAGTGCGGCGGAGATGATAGGGAGAATGTGAATGGTGTTGAGTCAAGCTGATTTGTACCTGAATGACCACTATTTTCTGCCGATAAGGGGGTATCTTGATCCGACATAGAGTATGCAAGTGTCGTGCCGAATTGACCGAAAGGACGTGGAAGTGGCTGGGGGATGGCGGGTTGTGGGAAGGCGAACATGTTGTAGCTTAAGTAAAGCTCGCAATCATAACCGGGCATAAATGAAAATCTCGTTGATCAGTATTTTTAAGGTATCCTTAGGTGTATCGCTGAAAGAAACGATATTAGATGGTTACTGCTGCTGATGTAGTCTCGATGTCGGCAATTTTCGACGTTTCGACGCGCTTTTCCTATTATCGATATTTCGCGTTCGCATCAGAGCGATAAGATAACCATTCCACGTGACTTTATGCTTAGTAATTTAAGGTATGTAATATGACGACATGCAGGAGCGATATTATTGATATGTATTATTGATTTGATATCTATTAAATACATAGGTTTATTGAGGCTTCGTGGATAGAAGATAGGCCCGTGGAGCTATAGTAGTAGTCCAGTGCTTGGTAGCTGCAACTGCCCTCGGGGCCCAGTCATCAGCTTGACGAACCTTGGGGGCTCCCATGGTGGACTTGTAGGTACCCTTACAGCATTTTGAGTGCAGGGTTCTCATAGAAGAGATGGGCGGCGTACCTAACGACTCGGAGGAATACTAGGCTAGCCTTTGAGCAGGCCATGGACAAATATCCTATAGTCTTGCCTCTTTGTAGCGTGTTCAAGAAGTGCATGCCCTAGCTTCGATCCAAGGTATGGTGAAAGACTAATTCTCATCCAGTCAAGTCCCACAGAAATTAGATAGAATCATCTGAAACGACAGTTGTCCGCAAGATCAGATGTCATCAAATTCATCATCATCAAGGACAAGTCTTTCAAGCTTCTCATCGCTGGCCCAGTCGACTCCGCTAGCAGCGACAGAAGCACTCACTATGCGCTTTATGCGCGTCCACTGGGCCTTTTTCTGTTTGTTCTCAGATTTCAAGCTGTTTAGTTCCTCCTTCAGCTCAAGGTCTGGTATCTCCTCATCCGCTGACTTCTCACTGTTAGTCAGCTTAAGCAGGGACTGGACCAGCTCCTGATTCTGTTTGATATTTTGGATATTGGAGACTTCAGTACTGGATAGCTTTCGAATACAGGTAGTATATGTGGTCAGCATATTCTCATAGGCGAGTGATAAAATATCTCGCTTGTTGATAAGCCGAAGAAGGGCCCTAGTAGAATCCGTAAGCCAAAGGAAACTACCAGATAAAAGGAGAAGCCATACCTGTCAAGCGGTGATGAAGGCGCTGAGTGAACTGCCTGCAGGCTAGGCTCAGTCATGAGAACGCTTTCGACGACCTTTCTCTGAACCGAGACCCTTGCCCTAACCTCGAGCAATTCGCGCTCTGCCTCTGCTAGTTTCACGTCTATATCTTCTACTTGTGTGTCTTCAGGGAGTTCTGCACGGTTAACCTGTTAGCACTCACGCTCAAATGGATAAAGCTGGTCGTTAACACAAACGCACCATGATTCAACAGTGCTTCTTCCAGTTTCAGTTCAAAGACACGGTCGTAGAGCTCTAAAATCTCGGTTTCTTTCTGTGAGAACGAGAAGCTCTCTGCTGTTTCATCTTGAGTCGCGATATCCAGAAGAGCCCTTGTAGACGCCTCCAAGCTCTCCATCCCATCTCTGTTGCTCTGAGCCATGGACTCCTCACCTCCGTTTCATCTTATCCAAATAATAAATAATGGAGCTGAGCTTTTGATTGATCCCGACAATGTTTGTTTGTTCTCCCTTTATAAACTTGAACCACCGCCTCATCACGTGGAAAGAAGGCGACGAGAGCTTCAGCGGCTCAAATTCAACGTCATCGACTTCAACTTATTCCTCCTGCTCGTCGTAATTCAGCTTTTTGAAGACTCCTTTCTGTCTGTGTAAGATCGCGTGAAAGCTTGCGGTGGGTTTAAATAGACCTGACCGGCCTTGTGGTTGTTTCAGTGGGTCAACTGACTTGCGCTAGAACCCGGGGCGATCGTGATTCAGCTCCCCAGGCACCTGAAGTAGTTGCATGCGAGCGCCAGTCAACAAACGCCTTGCAGTGCCGAACAGCCAGCGGATCGGTACTAGAGCTTCTCTGCAGGCACACGGTACCCGCTGCGCACAGGAGAAATCACAAGGCATCGAGTGTGTTGTCGGTGCCGCGTGCCTTGATGATGCGAGCTTCTATTAATCCACTCCACGAGCCCTCTGGATCCAAGGAAGACCTCCAGCCTTGCGCAGACATTGTACCTGGCAATGTCGTTACACATATACATAGCTCACAGCGGTGAGCAGATGCTGGCCGACCCAGTCTCTTTTGCTTCGTGGGTGTACCTCCTTGCTATCCGGTATAAACGTTGGCTAACCGTCAGGCACCTAGGCCAGATGCACTGCGCTCATGGATATCTCGATATACGCAGATTCCCGTACAGAGGCAGATACTGATGACTGCAAAGGGGAAGAGTGTCAAGACACAGAGCCTAGCTACAGAGGTAGGTCCTCTTTTCTCCGATGTTGCGTGTTTAAAAAGAGTCCCTGCTAACGGAAATAGAACGAGATCTTTGTATACGATAGGCAGAACGTGAGCGACCAAGCAAGCAGTAGCACATCCGAACAACTGTCACCACCGTTATTCACATCTCAAGATCCTCCCGATGTTCTAGCAGATCGAAACAACCTTCAATCATGGAAGGATCTTTTCATGGCCCGTCGGTCATGGGCGCTCAATCTTGCGGCGCATTGCAGCACTATGGCCAAGTCGGTTGACGACTACAATATACGGACAGAAGTCATCCAGCGTGGTGTTTCTGTGGCCCTGGAGAACCTGAAATCACATGTTGGAAATTTGGAGCACAAGTTTCAAGATACTCACAATTGGGCCAATGATCTCATGAGAGACCAACGGTCTGCACTCAAAGACTGGCAGCGAGCCTACAGTACCCTTGGAGAAATACCTGCTAAAAGCGATTTTACATTTCTGCGACGGGCAGCACCGAAGAAGTCAAAGGAATATCGTACAGGAACGCTGCAGGACTATATCGAAGGGGAAGAATTGCAGAATGCGGTGTCTGACGTCACTTCACAGTCTCAACGCTTTGCTCGACGTGTTGGTGATCTGGAGAAAGAAGTCCGGGATATTTCCTCCCAAGCGGAATCATTAGGCAATGCCATATCTAATACTTCCGCTAATACCGCAGAACAAGCTCTCCTGGGAGAAATTGAAAAGCATGCTAAGAAGATTGCTGCAGATTACACATCTGTATTACCACTACAAAATGACCCAGGGTCGATATCAAGCATTTCGAAAGTAGCACTAGTACACACCAAAAAGGTCCTCCCGAAGATGATGGACTTGAACCTCAACTTGCGGAATATGCTGAATGCTGCCGCCCAGGGCCTCAGCACAGCAATGAAGGATTCGTCCGCACAAATGCAAAAGATATCATCCATAGAATTGCGGTTAGCGAAGGTACAGGCTGATATAGCAGAATTAAATGTTGAAACTGATTCTTTCGACGTGTTGTGCCTTGTTTACCATCTGCCGTCTATCTACGGTTCCATTCTGATCGAATCTGCTCGCCGCCATGAATGGGCTGACAAGATAAAAACCGACTCAAGAGATATTGCAGAGGAATTAGCTATTTTTCGTGATGAAGAGCAACGCAGACGGAGAAAATGGGCCAAGCGCATGGGTGAATTCCTTAACTTGCCAGACGATAATGCTCCCTCTGTAGAAGTTAACATGCAAGCTGCAAAGGACAGTGGCTGGCCAGAGGTCTCTCGGGCAGAAATTGAGGAGTATATTGATCTAGTTGGGAAAAAAGCCGACATGGAGGATGCTGTTCAGGAACTGACGCAACTTTTTAAAGAACTGGATACCCCTAGCAGACAACAAAGACGAAGGACTAAAGCCTTCAAGCAGGGAAGCCTATTTGAAATGGGCCGTAGCTCGTTCCTTTTACGTGACAATGACGTTGTTCGCAGTCTTCAAGAGGAAAAGTCCAAGGTTGAGGAGAGACTGAAAGGCTCGGAAAGTCGAGTCCGGAGGTTAGAGGATCTTCTTCATCGTCAAAGTCATATCTCTCGTCCTGTTAGTGGGCAATTTGGGCCTGATATACCTACGTCTCCAGCCTCCCCACGGCTAGAGAATGCTCGTCTCGAAAATGCATCTAGAAGATCATCCATGTCCTCTAGACGAATGTCGTCAAATCAACCTCAAGATGACAAGGCGCTGATACAGCGCATCGTTGCACTAGAAGCTGAACTCGCAGTTGAACGCGATGCAATCACTAAAATGCAACGAGAAACCAGCCTTGAACGCCAATCTAATGTCGACAAAATCGAAGAAGCCGAGCTTACCAAGAAGGATCTAATGAGAAATCTTGAAGCTAAGCAACGCGAATTCGAAGAAGAGCGGAGGTTCTTGGAGTCAGAAAGCTCCAAATTCAAGTCTAGGATTGAGGAGCTCGAAGACGAACTAGATAGGGTCCTAGACTCTCATGACCATGAAAGACACGAGCTTGATGAAAAGATTGAGTTACTTTACAGGGAACTTGAGATAGTCAGAGGGAAAGACAAGGAAGATGCCACTACGCAAGTTCGACTTTCCGAATTGACCGATCAAAATAAGGAGCTCCAAGAACAGGTTCAATCAATCCACAAGGAACAAAAAGACCTGGTACAAGGCTTGCAAGCTGCATATCATAATGTTTCCAACTCTACGCCGCCGAATAATATCAAAGAACTCGTTGATGCCCTATGTGTTGTTGTAGAAGGTCTAGCTATTCATTCAAAGAGCTCTGATGAGGCCTTAGCACGACTGGGAGAGGAAAATGACGAAATGAAACAAAAGATTGCTCAATCAGAACAAGACGCGAAGACTACTAGAGAAATTCTTGATTCGGAGAAAGCAAATGCATCTGACCTTGAGAACAGGCTTAAAGGTGCCAGAGCTGAGCTTGAAGGGGTAAACGAGAGGCTAAAGACGGGGCAAAATGAAATAGAATCGTTAAAAACAGAGATTGATTCTGAGAAGGACAAAACGCAGGCGTCATATAGGCGCGCTATGGAAGCAGAAAAACGCGTCCTCGACCTAAATGAGCAGATAAAGCGCATGGAAGAAGACAAGACGTCAGTCTCTGCGGAACTTTCAGAATGGAAACAGAGAGCTGAAAATGTTCACATCGATGGCAAAACTTCCAGCTCATGGTTTGATGCCAGAGGTGCCCGTGCTGGTGATATGTCAGTAAAAGTCCATGCGTTTGTGGAACAGCTGTCTCGTATCTTGGAAGAACTCGGGTTTACAATTGTCTCCCAAAACGGTTCCATGGCAATTCAGCGAACATCCAGGGTAATGAATGGCCTTTCTGCGGGGGAGAACATGTCATCTTCAACGTTGGTAGGCACGATCGCAGCACCAGAACATGTTCACTGGGCCAAAGCGGGGAATGAAAATGATGAATCATCTCAATTTTCTTCGTTTATGACAGCCATCGACCGGATGGATATATCCGCCTGCGGCGATGCAGTGATAAAAAGGGTCAAAGATATTGAAATTTTAGCCCGGAAATGGCAAAAGGAAGCCCGAGGATATCGAGACAAATACCACCGTGCTCAGAGTGAAGCCCATGACAAGATTGCTTACCGATCTTTCAAAGAGGGGGATCTCGCGCTCTTCCTTCCCACTCGCAACCAAGAAATTCGGTCATGGGCTGCTTTCAACGTGGGAGCACCGCACTACTTCCTTCGGGAGCAAGACACTCATAAGCTCCATACCCGGGATTGGCTCCTGGCTCGTATCACGAAGGTCCAGGAGAGGGTAGTTGACCTTTCGAAATCCATGAACGGGACAAACCAAGACCGTCTTTCAACAGGAGGAAATGATGGTGCATCCATTGAAGATGACAATCCTTTCGAGCTTTCGGATGGCCTGAGATGGTACCTACTAGATGCATCAGAAGAAAAACCACGGGCTCCTAGCACTCCTGGCCTTGGGAAGAGTACGGTTGCTTCTGCACATGTGGATGCAAAGGGAAGTATCCGATTAAAACGAACAACTTTTGGTGGGGGAGCTACTAAAACGTTGTCAAAGAGCTTGGATAGCAGACGAAATAGTTCGGCATCAAGAAATGGGGCAGCTATACCTACGCTTCAGCCAGCAACAACAAGCGAAACTGTACTGGCATCGGATGGTGATCAAGGTGCGGGGAGCCGTAGAGAGGAGGCACAGATATTTGACGAGGTTCGCAGAGATCTGCTATCCGATCCCTCAAATAAATGAAGACAGATAAGAATAACCTCTTCTTCTACATGAGGAAGGGGGTTCGTTTCGTCAGGAAACTGATTATTATTCTTTCTTTGCGGAACATAGGTCAATGATGGTCATAGCCCAAGCCAAGCAGTTGGTTCGCCTTCAGCCACAGTCAGATCTAAGCCTAGTTTCATTTCCGGCGCCAGTTCGTCGCCATCGAGGTCCTCGTCTTCGAAACGACCATGGGAGAGACTATTCTCTCTGGATTACCGATCAGATGCTTTCTCTTAGGGATTACATCAGTGCACTCCAACATTCTCAATGTGGCGTTGGTGCTGTCCTGTTCCTTGAATAATGTCACCGGCTGACCGTTTTCCCAGACCTGAAACTTATAACACCTTGATTTCATTTTAATCCTGACTACCCATGCATCGTGCATGTACCAATAGGCATTTTACCCCATTTTGCTTACATCTGTCTTGTGCATCTCACATCCACCTGGTGTTTGGACCTCTTTACGATGATACCCACGCCCTTCATATTTACTGTTGCATCTATCGTACCATTTTGGAGTGTTGAAAGAATATGTTGATTTACTGTACTTCTTACTGGCTGTTTTCCCTATATTTGATTTTTTCTTGTCCCTTATCTTAATTCGAGTATCTTAGGTGATAATTAGTATCTAGAAAATACTGTCTCTGCGTTTGATCACAGTATCTACCCACTTGGACTATCTCTCCACGGGTAGCTCCATGGCAGCCAGGCAGATCTGTATGCTTTGGATTTGCTCTTATCTATTCGGAGTGGCATCCAGAGGGCGTTTTTGAAATACTTCGAAATTTTTGTTTGCACTTTCGAGCGTCCCAAGGTTCTGGCCCTTGTGTTGTGGTATCCGACAAGAAAGCCAGTCCAGCCACAGCAAAAGCATTCACGCCTAGGCTGTTCTTCCGTCTTTTATAACGAGTGTTGTTGAAATGGGGCATCTAGGGAGGTAAACTTATTTAATATACAAACCATACATACCTTGAAGCTCTATCGCAATAAGCCATAAGTTACAGGGGTAGCCGGTACTTTGTGCTCTATGCTCTGAATTATCAAATTACCAAAAATATATCAATGCAGGCATAACTCGTCAACTATGTAAACAGGCGCATTTCTGGGTATCATAAATAAAAATAAAACCACTTCCAAGGCGTTCCTCTAATCCGCTGCTTTCCCACTAGCCTCCTCAGAAGAAGCTCCGGAGGGCAGAAGAGTGTCCAGGCTGCCCAGAAACTTATCCGCCCTCTTTTTACCTCTCAACTCTTCAATCTTCTTTCTTCTCTCTTGCTTTGCTTTCTCCCTCGCTTCTTTTTTCATAGCTGCTTGATTCCTTTCAATTGTCGTCTCGCTTCTGGAAGCCATAAGCTCTTCCATTTCCTTCTTACGTATTTCTTCGTCATTCGAAAACGCATAAAATCCGGTTCCACGGGTTCTAACCTCTCCTTCAGCATTATAGTGGGTTTCGGGCGGCGGTGTCAGGCTTTTATCTCGTTTCTTTGCAAGATTTGACATTTGGGCAGTTATATTTTCATCCGGGTTGAATGCAGCTGCTTGTATAGCCGAACCATATATGACATTGGAAGGCCGAGATGGACGAGCAGCCACTGGGACACGGCTTGGTTTCATGTTCCGTTTAACCCCTCCGTCATCCATATTAGATCGTTCCTGTTGGAGCTGTCGGTTCCGTTGAGCTTCCGCCGCCTCTGCCTTTGTACCTGTTCTTGTCCGGCCAAATTCGTCTTCATATTCAACGAACGTAGTTTCGTCATCACTCTCATCCTTGGTATCTATTTTCGATGCTCTGCTTTCTGCCCATTTCTTATCAAAGTTAACGAGGCTGTTTTTATCCGCTCGCCGTATAGATGAGAACCGGTCGTCAGGTTGCCCAGCCTCGTCGCTATCACTATCTCCCTCAGCAAGGTATTCTCCCTTCTGTAGCTCGTCATATAATTTTGTCTTCTCTAGCATTTTCCTCTTGGACCGATTAAGAACCGCATCGTCAACTTCGCCGATATCTGCGCCTCGTTTGTGGATCTGAAGTGCCGCATTATCGCTGGATAGATCTGCTGCTGCTCGTTTCTTTGCGCCTTTATTGTGTACGGAGAAGATATCAGGCCTTTGGGACTTCCTCGCTCGGCCACGAGAAATGGTCGATCCTGATGCGCTCTCGGCACCAGGGCTAGAAGCTTTGGATTCCTTCGCTATTAGAGTGGAAAGGTGGGTGGTGAAGGCAAGCGTGGAAGAGGATACGAGGTCTTTCTTGGACGCTTCCGATTTCTGTCGACGTATGCCGTATAATGACTGAGAAGAAGACATGGTAACGTCCTATACAGGCGAGACGCATATATAACCACACTAGACAGATATAGCTGCAACAAAGGGAGCTGAAGATTGAAGACCAAAAGCCTGAAGCTCGAATAGAGTTTATTAGCTAAGCATTTCCAAGACTTTTTATCTTATCTTGATCACATCACCGACGATCGGAGCACCAGCCCCTCCGAGGGGAAAACTGGCAGCTGGAAACAACAACGAAACAGTCATTTCTTCCATAGCTGATCTACCATATTAACAGGCAAGCAGAACTCTCCTTTGAGACCAATTATGTCGGCCAAAGCAATCTACATCGGTGTCGTCGGTAAGTTGTCCTTAGAAACATCTAAATATCTTTTAATATACAGCTCAATCGAGCTTTACTGACAACTGTATGAATGTAGGAGTTGGTGGCGTTGGGAGCCACTTTCTCTCACAACTATCTAAGTTACCAAATGCCCCATCCCTGGTCCTCATTGCCCGGTCCTCACAGACACTCACTTCCCCGGCTCCCTCATACCAAGCCATCCCCCCGGCAGACTGGCAGTCGGCTTTCTCCTCCGGCTCATTTACCAAGTCTGAAGCCTGGTCTCCAGAGCAGATAGCTACCTACCTCTCAGGGGTGCCAGGACGAGCCATCCTAGTTGACAACACCTCTGACCCTACAATTGCCAATTCGTACCCTATTTTCACAAGCAAAGGTATCAGCATCGTCACGCCAAACAAGAAGGCGTTCTCCTCCTCCCTGAAGCTATGGAAGGATATATTCTCCACTGCTACTGCCAACAATGCATTGGTTTACCATGAAAGTACCGTGGGCGCCGGACTGCCTGTTCTTTCGACCCTGCGTGATCTAGTCAACACTGGTGACAAAGTGACTCGAATTGAAGGTGTCTTTTCAGGAACCCTGTCCTTCCTGTTTAACCAGTTTTCTTCCCCTTCCCCTTCAGCTGCAGGTGAGAAGAAGAAATGGAGTGAGGTTGTCAGCAAGGCCAAGGAGCTGGGGTATACCGAGCCTGACCCCCGAGACGACTTGAACGGCATGGATGTTGCGCGTAAATTGACCATCTTGGCTCGAATTGCTGGGTTGGAAGTTGAGAGCCCAGACTCGTTTCCCATTGAGAGCTTGATTCCAGGTGAGCTTGCAAAACTAGAAGCTGGGCCCAAAGGGACTGAGGAGTTTATGCGTCTCCTGCCTGACTTTGATGGGAAGATGGAGGATCTTCAGAAAAAGGCGGAAGCATCCGGCAAGGTACTGCGATATGTGGGTAGCATTGATGTTCCTCAGAAGGTTGTCAAAGTGGGCTTGCAAAGCTTTGACAAGGATAGTGCCATGGCAGGGCTCAAGGGCAGTGACAACATTATCAGTTTCTACACTGAGCGATACGGAGAACTTCCTCTAATTGTCCAGGGTGGCGGTGCTGGCGGAGCTGTTACTGCTATGGGAGTCATGTCTGATTTGATAAAGGTACTAGAGAGGCTGAGATAATTGATGTCTGTACATAACAAGCCGGGCATTTTAGAGTTATGGGTGTCTCCTTTTGACCATCAACTTTGCCTCCGGATCACATAACATTTCAAACCCTATTTCGACAATTTTTGGCTTGCGTTCTCCGGCTATTTCAACATCGTAGTTTAGTAAGATGTTTGCCAATGCCACTTTCAGCTCGTTTGCAGCGAAGAATCTTCCAGGGCAAATCGGCTTCCCAATGCCAAATGCGATGTGGTCGTGACTGGTGGATACCAAGGCTGCAGTACCATGTCCAGCTTGACGTAACCTAACGAATCGATATCCATCGTAGGCAGTTGGGTTCGGATAGATTTCCGGATCCCACATCATGGAAGAATCGACAGCAACGTTGGTGCCCTTGGGTAACTTCATGCCGTTGGGGAGAACAACTTCCCGAAGAGCTTTACGTTCAAGGTTGACTGCATCGTAAATCATTAGAATCATACTCCTCGAACAAGGCAGTCCCTAACAAAGAAAGAAAAAAAAATTCCTTACCTAGCAGACCAGGCTTCAAACGCTGACTCTCCTTAATAACACTATCAAGGATCTGCATGTTGAACAACCCAGCAGTCGTCCATCCATGCTGGCTCACCGCCTTCTTCACTTCATCCCGAATAGGCTGTACAAGATCCGGATGCATGCATATGTCCAGTAAGGTCTGTTTAAGCAGCTCAGTCGTGGTATGTAAAGCGCTAACTGCAAACGCCAATTGTGCCGCAGCTTGATCAAACGGTCTACCTGCAGCAACATCCGTAAGCCATTGGAAGGTATCATCGGACCCTGTACGGCTCTGGATGATTGGATGCAGCAACTTCCGTGCCTGGCGGACTTGTGCTTGACATTTCCTGCACTCAGGGAGAAGCCAGCGGGCTAAGGGGTGGAGGAATGAAGGATACGAGCGGAGTGCTCTGACGCTCATAAAGGTGTTGATAGTGTATGTTATAATGAGGTTCTGCCATTCCGGGTCTCGAGAGAGGTCTGATCCCGAAAAGACGGCGGAGGACATTCGAGCGATGAACCTGACTGCATTCCGGCCCCAGTCAACGGAGTGCCAATCTAGAGAATGGTAAGTTGATGGGTTTTTTTTTATTCGCATATGTAAGACATGGTTTTTACCTTCACTATTGCCCCAAAAATCTTCTAATGCCTCGTTGACATGCTCCTGCATCAACTTGCATTCTATCTCGCTTATTAAGACAACTGAGTCCAATATCACAGATCATGGGAAAGAAGAGATACTTCCACTTACGGCTACTCTGGTTCAGTTTCTTTTTGGTGACGTCGATGACGATGCGTCTAGGATCGGTGACCATCCCAATCCCTTCCATGCCCGGGTATCCTCCAAAGTATTCCTTGATGGACCATGTCAGCGTCAATTCTTATTTTCTAGCTGTCTTGGAAGAATGGAGTTTTACATTATGAACAAGGGCCTGATGGTCCAGGTCCAGACAGCCCTTTAGCCATTCCGTGTAAGTTGGCGGAAGTATCACTCTGGACCCGAGGGCGGTGATAATCCTAAACGGCCCATTGAACTACTCTCAATCAGCCCAGGGGTTCTTCTAGAAGCAGATAGAAGGCTAGTGTACTCTTCTTATGCCCTCCTTGATCAAGCTTCTAGAGTTCAAGAGGTATTGTTGGTGAGCTTTCTTCTGACCCCAGTCCCAAGGGTATGAGTTGACAGTGGGTATCTGGTCGGCTGTCGTGCTGCATAACCAACTGAGCGAGGCGACAGCAAACGCGATAACGACTGCGACTGAGAAGGTCACTACATAGCTATCTCCATCGGCAGACAACATGATAACTAATAATTTGGCCAGCTAGTTATGGAGCTGTCTCTATCAGCTTTTGTTTGTTGATATGCCGAGGATATCTCCCAAAGGGTTTGCGTCATAATGAATCATCCAGCTAGCCAACACACTATTACATCTAGCCCGGCAATAACACAGCACGTTTTACTAATCCATCCATTCGTAAGTAAAGAACACAAGTAGTGTGTATGTAGCTAAACAGAGCTCATTATCTCCATCGAGTTGGTAATTTTTCATCTAACCAAGATTACTACGTGCAAGTATGTATACATCCTGTGGCAACCGTGACATAGTTTGATGTCAAAAGTAGCCGGTCTCAGGAACACACCGTTGGCCAGCCGTGCTTATCGCCGTGATACTCAAGCGAGGCTACATACGTAGCTATCCATCTCTTTTCACTTATCCAATTTAAAATAAAAATAATAATAATAATATCTATAACCATGCTTCGAGTCCTTCCCTTTCACTGATAACATAAGCAGTCAACAGCTATCACACGTGACTCTTACATTTTGGAACCTGTAACGGAAGGGAGAAGCGGTAATTTATTTATCGCTGGCCTGCGTTCTTTTGACTTACGTGGTCAAGGGCCTGTGGTGGTACCCTTCCTGCTCCATACCTCGGGATCGACTCTGTTATTTAGCGCGGTATTGGATGTAATAATGGAGTACCAGGACGCTAGGTAAGGCAAGTCTAAGAAGGGGAAGCAAGGCCCAGCAGGTTAGAGTCGTACTATTTGGTGTAAGAGTAGGTGTGTATGGGTATGTATGGTGTGTTATGGTGTGTTCGTGTGTGGTGTGCGTGGTGTGTGCGAGTGCGGTGGACGAGTTACAGGAGGCAGCGGCCAGAGGGACCCCCCCGACCCCCGGCCTGCCTGACCTGACTACTGCGGGCGATCGGGGCTGGGCCGGCGTTTCGAAACGAGGCAGGCCAACCCAGGCCGGACATGGCTGCGTGATGTGATGGTGATGGGCGAGGTCGAGAGTGTACGAAGCAGCGCGAGAAGACAGCTGATCCTGATCCATCACATCAACTCTCCCGTACTATCTGTATCCTGTAACCTGCTATCCTCGGTAAGAGCCTGTATCTTTGGTACGCACTGTCTCAGCGAAGCGGGATGTACCACCCAAGAGGAACTCCGCAAGAGGTACCTGGTCCCCGTACTGTATGGGAAGTAACGCCGTAGTACGCCGTTTTCTGTTTTCCCTCTCTTTCCTTACAAGCCTCGTCCTGTCGCCCCCCAGGCGGCGCAGGCTGTGACTCGCCGTAACCCAGCTGTACCCTGCGGTAACAAACAGCCCCTTACGCTGGCTCTGCGCGCCGCTGCCCGCCAAGGTGCATGTGAAGCTGCCGTATCTTACCTGACCTGACCGTACCGTAACCTCCCATCCTCCCTGCCTCGCTTCCTGCCTCCGAGCCTTCTCCTTACCTGACCGTACCGTACCATACCCAGCCGTCGCAGCGTAAAAAGAGCGTAAAGGAAAGCGTCACAGTCTGGTAAGCGTCAGGTAAGCGTCAGGTAAGACGCAGGCAGGCCAGGCC